TTAATCTTAACAGGGTCGCCAGGACTCCTGTGGATGTTTTTTAAAAACAAAAATTTACTTCCTCACAGCTCAGAAGGCTAGAAGTCCAAATTCAGGCCATGGCTGTAGAGGAAGTCCTTCCTTGTCTACTTAAATGTTTAGTAACTGCCATCAATCCTTGTAGATGCATCTGTGTCAGTAGTGTCTTTCTGTTTCCCTGTTTATATCTCTGTCTATTCTGCCCTTTTTTTTTTTTAACTCATAAGTGATTACATTTTGGACCTACCTCACACTGCTTGTTGTTAAGTGCCATTGAGTTGGTTCTTGACTCATAGTGACCTTGTATAGGGTTTCCAAGGAGCAGCTAGTGGGTTTAAACTGCCAACCTTGTGGTTCACAGTTCAGTGTTGATTCTACAGCACCATACCACTTAACAACTTACTGCCATCAAGTCGGCTCTGATTCATAACAACTCTGTATAGACAGATTTCCAAGGAGTGGCTCATGCGTTTGAACCACCCACTTTGTCACTCCAGGACCCTGTCTACCTTCTAGTCAGTAAATTACTCCCCCTTCCCTCCCACCCCTGGTGCCTATGAAAGAATGCTTCTTTTAGTGTGAAAACCTTTTCTTGTCTAAAGTAGTGGTCTCAGACAATTTTTGCCCTTTTGTGATTGACTAATTTCATTCAGCATAATGTCCTCCAGATTCATCCATATTATAAGGTGTTTTGTAGATTCATCATTATTCTTTAATGTTGCATAGTATCTCATTGTGTTTTTGCACCAAAGTTTGTTTATCCATTCTTCTTTGTTTGTTAAGTGTGTCTCTTGTAGACAGCATATTGATGAATCCCGTTTTCCTATCCATTATACTACTCTCTGTCTCTTAACTGGTACATATAACGCATTTATATTCACTGATTATCAGTTGGTATGAATTGGTTGAAATGGATTGACATAGGCAGCAGCAATGGGCTCAAACATAGCAACAGTTCTAACAGTGGTACAGGACTATGCAGTGTTTTGTTCTTTTGTGCATAGTGATTATGAAGCAAAACTCACCAGTACCTAACAACAACATGAATTGGTTGCTGTCATTTTGCTGTGGGCTTTTTTGTGTGTGTGAGTAGTACTGTTGGGTTCTTTGTTTCAAATAATTTCTATGCTGAGTTCATTTGGTTTGTGGACTTTCTTGCCATTTTCTTTGTGCTGTTGGTGTAATATTTAGTTTATGATTTTCCTCTTGTTTATTTTGATGAGAAGGTTTATTAATTTTCTTTGTGGCTACCCTGTAGTTTATTGGTTTATCTCAAAGTTTAAAAGATGCTGTTCTGTCTTGAAATTTACTTGACTTCATTACCATTTGAAAGTTCTATCACCACAATATTCCTTCTTTTTGCTTTGTAGTTGTCTTCATTATAAATTAATATTTCGTCCTTATTTTCAGTCTTTTAGGTTTGTTTTACTTTCAATACTTCTATATATTGAATTGAGTTCTGGGTGATATTGCCATGTATGTTAATCTGAGGTAAATCTGCTGTTGTTGTTTCTCAGTCCAAAGAACACACTTCAGTAATTTTTGTAAAGTTTCTCTGGTTATTACAAATTCCTTTACTTTCTGTTTTTCTGGAAATGTCCTAATTTCACCATAATGTTTGAGGAACAGTTTTTCTGGGTATATGATTCTTGGTTGGCAGTATTTTTCACTTTCAGTTTTTCTCACCCCTTCACCTCCTGACCTGCGTGGTGCATGGTTTCTGCTGAGAAATCAGAGCTTGATCTTACTGGTTCTGCTTTGTAGGTAACTTTTCATTTTTCCTAAGTTTCTCTGAGTGCTCTTTCCTTGTGTTTGATTTTGAAAAGTTTAGTTATAGCTTGGTGATTTTCTTTTGGGGTTCTATCCTTTTTGGGGTTCATTCAGCTTCTTGGATGCTCATCTTCTCATCTTTCATGTTAAAGAAGTATCCTTCCAAAAATTCTTAAACAATTTTCTCTGGGTTTTTTGTTTATTTTGTCTCCTACGAGGATGAGTCAGAAATTATCCACACTCCAAGTATATTAAAAGGCTCACCCATGACTACAGCTGATGACAACGTTGAGCATGTACATGAAATGATTCTGTCAAATCAACGAGTGATAGTGGATTATGTGGCAAATCATTTGCAAATCAGCCATAGCTCTGCCTATGTAATAATCAGTAACAGACTTGGGTTTGAGAAGTTTCCGCAAGGTGGATACAGAAACAACTCATAGAAGAATATAAACAGATGTTTGGACATCTGTAAACAAAATTTGGACCAGCACTCAGACTGGTGATGATTCATCACTATGAGCCTGAGAGTAAGTCTCAAGCAAAGTATGGAATGGAAACATCTTAAATAACCAACTAAGAAAAAGCTCAAAAATCAACCATTAGCTGGAAAATCGATGCTTCAAGTTTTCTAGAAATCTTAAGGGTCATCATTAGAAAACACTCTCAGGAATAAGGTCCAACGATCAATAGTGCTTATTACACTGAAATGCTCACTGAAGAACTGAAGCCTAAACTTCTGTTTAAAAGCAGAGTGTTGTGATCTTGCATGACAATACATGTCCACACACCTTTGCCCACAATGTTAACACTGCAAAAACTTCACTTTGAGGTATTAACATAGTCTCCGTATAATCCTGATCTTGCTTCATCAGACTTTAATCTGTTTGGTCCCCTGAAAGCAGCCCTTTGAGGTCAAAAATTCACCTCTGATGAAGTGAAAACTGCAGTAGTTCGTGGTTTGCAGTTCAGCCTAAAACATTTTTTAATAAGGGAATATGAAAGCTTGTTGGTAAATGGACAAAGTGTATTGAAAAGCAAGGTGATTATGCCATAATATGATATATTTGCCTTTTGCAAAAATTCATTGAAATAAATTCTACAGCCAGTGGATAATTTTTTACTCACCCTTGTATTTTAGAATTCTGATGACTCATAGATTATTCCTCTTGATTGTGTCCTACGTAAATCTTAGCTTTCTTTGTATTTTTTTTTTCTGATTGTTGTTTTAGTAGAGTAGTATTGAGAAATTTCTCTTCAGGCTCACTAATTCAACCTTATATTGACTCACATGTACTCCTTTGCCCTTTCACTGTATTATCCCTTTCTTAAATCTTAGTATTAATCTGCTGGATTTGTATTTGCAGTTTTTGTGTTGTTTCTAATTTTTCATTTATTTTGTCAGGGTTTCCTGAATTCTCCTACTCTTTCCTGTGTTCTCCTTGCTTTCAACTGCAGCTTTCTCACGCTTTCTCAATCCATTCAAGGTACTTAGTGTCACTCTTTAGAATTCTTTATCAGGTAGTTCAAATACTTTTTCTTCCTCAATCATTTTCACACTCTGCATTTTGGATACTTATTTGAACCACTTTATCTTTTTTCTTCATGTGTACTGAAATTTTTGTTTCCAAGACATTGTTGTGCTGTTGTATTTAACTGATAATTATATCGTTTGTGTTCTCAGGCATTTGTTACCTGCCTCCTGATGAATGTGATAGGGAATGGAAGTGTGTGCATGGTTCTCTGTTCACTGTTTGTGTAGCAC